GCAAGCCATAAATTAATTGTATATGCTGTCTGATCAACATGTATGAGCAAGTAAAGCAATGTACATGAGTAGTCCGTATCTTGCAGTTAAAAAATGTAAATTTTCTTTATCACTTCATCACTAAAGAGTCTTTGCAGCAATTAAAGAAGACAGTACATCTGCTTTGTTAACTGTCTTTGCTGCTAGAAACAATCACTGCAGGCACAAGAAGCAGAAATTAGCAATGCATGCAGCTTTCTCTCAGCATTCATTGTCATTCAACTCATCAGAGACAGAGTCACTCAACAAATCATACTTGAAGAAGATTGTATATCTGCTCTGTTAACCTAGGCTTGCTGCTAGAGAAAAAAACATCACCTAGAATAGATCTCATAATGCATGCAGTTATAGCTACAGTACATGCAGCTTTCTCATTTAGATTCAACTTATCAGAGTCCTTTATATTAAGAAAAAAGATTCTATACCTGCTTTTGTAACTTTCTTTTTGCCAGAGAAGTCTTTGAACAGCAGTTTAGTCTTATCTTGCTGACCGTTGCTGCAAATAAGCTCAGACTTGCTGATAGCCGCCATTTTATTCATTGTGACCACACCCGCTTTCAATGAAGATTAGGCTTTTTAACTTTAATAATAGTTAGACGACCCGTATAAACCAACAGACTTTTCTCGTCTTAGTGGGGCTCGCTCAGGCTCGCCCCAACAAGTATACAAAATATCGATTAGATAAAGTAGCCCTTCTACGTAAATGTTGTTACGCTTCTATCTTTCCATCTCTCATCTTCCCTTTCTTTATCACTGATTCTTTCTCTCCTCTTTACAAACTAGTCCTAGTATATATTCCTTCCTTACTTGTATTCTTCCAGGTTTACCAGTGGAGTCCATTCTGCTAGCTACATTCACAGTATTGCCCCATATATCATACTGTGGCTTGTGAGCACCAATCACTCCAGCAACAACCGGTCCATGATTAATACCTAATGTAATAATACACACAAATTGGATTGGAAGTAATCTACTAGAAATTAGTTATGATAATTACAAACCCTATAACTAGTTATGTGACATCAGTCAAACTAAAAAGATCATTCAATTAGATCAATGTACACTAGTTAGCATATAAATCACTGATTCACATACTTATGCTTATTAAACCTATAGCCAGCCCTAATCATATCAACTGTTGACAGTGAGAACTACAATCCAATATACTAGTACACAATAACAGGCAGTGGGACAATACCGTACGGGTATAAAATTCCGTGGGGTATTTAATTTCACTGATTTCATATGTTACTTCCTAACCACAAAAATCAATACCCATGGAAATACTCACTGCACATGCACAGCATGTGAAAATCAATCACTTATTGGAAGTGCATGTGCAAAAACACAAAATTTAACCCCCTCGAAATTAAAAAATTAAGAGCTCTTCACTAAAACACAAAATTTTATACCCTCGAAATTTTATACCCGTATGGTAATATCTACACAGAGTGCATATACACTCAAAAGTTTTAATACAAAATGTTATATGGATGACACCTAAATCAGTGATTGATTTGTAATATACAGAAAACTGGCTACCGTATAGCGGGTTTATTTCGAGGATAATAAATTTTGCAAATGACTCGTATCCAGAAGTTCACGGAATTATTTTTCACAAATTTCCACTATTCTGCCATCTTGTACCGTATTAAATTGATTTTCAAGGAATTTAATTTCGCAAATCTTGAAAAACAAAATTTATTATCTTCGAAAATAACCTGCTATATGGTATACACTACAGTGTGTGCTCTCTCTCACCTATTCTTAGTTGAAAGTCATTGAAAGAGTGCTTGTTGATGAGGTCCAGTTTCTTGATCAGTTCAACAGCAAACAAACACAAATGAACCACAGGATGATTCTTACTGGTCTTATTATTAGTGTCAACCTAAATATATACAATATATAACTATTATTGTAAGTACAGTATACAGGAGCCCTGTTAAAATTCAGTCATTTATACACAATCTAAATTAAATCAAGTAATCAAGAGTACATATAAGTATTCTTGATTAAATGTACATGCATTTTAATGTACTGGTAAAGGTGTTTACTTTTCTTTGATTGAGTCCAGTGGCTGCCATGTAAGTAGAACCTATTGTCTTTATCTTTTCAACGCTGCTAAACTTTGGCTTATTCAATACCTAAAAAGTTAAATAGTACTTAATTCCCGCCCTCTTGGCCCATTTTCCCTTTGTCTTTTTCATCCTCCCTCTCTCCCTCCCCCACTCTATCTCTATTTATGTTTTTACTTCATCAAAATCTGATATTATTTCGTTGAGCAGTCTCAGACACTCCTTTCCATCATCATTGATCGATGACTCGCTATAAAAGTCCCAAAAGCTCGGAATAGACGCAAACATGACACATATCTCATCGTGATCCTCAGAATAAAGCTCCTAAAAATAAGAACATTAGTGCTGGTGTCTACTTTGTCTTTGTTGTTCATTTTATCATAATAATAATAATAATAAGGTTTTCCCACAAAACGAGCTAAACAGCATGGGCTATTATAGTACATGGGATTTGGAGTAGTAATTCATAAATAAAATCCAATTTTGGCCAGAATCAGCTCAAACAACAACAGAACATGCATATTAGAATTATAAAGATGGATGATTCTCTCTTAGTTGTCTGTGACGAAATTTATTGACCCAAGACTTGGTTGGTACAATAGTACAGGGACTTTGGCCCCCTTTTGAAGCAACTTTAAAAATTCATAAAAAATTCAATTTTGATCGGAATCAGCTCAAACTTTCTACACAACATAAGTACATGTATATGTATCAAGAAAAAATATAAAAATGGAATTTTCTCTCCTATTCATTTTTAGCAAAAATTTGGCGAAACCCCTGTACTATAGTACAGGGACTTTGGCTCAATTTTTGAGCAACTTTAAAAATTCATAAAAAATCTAATTTTGGTTGGAATCAGCTCAAACTTTCTACACAACATAAGTACATGTATATGTATCAAGAAAAAATATAAAAATGGAATTTTCTCTCCTATTCATTTTTAGCAAAAATTTGGCGAAACCCCTGTACTATAGTACAGGGACTTTGGCTCAATTTTTGAGCAACTTTAAAAATTCATAAAAAATCTAATTTTGGTTGGAATCAGCTCAAACTTTCTACACGACATAAGTACATGTATATGTATCAAGAAAAAATATAAAAATGGAATTTTCTCTCCTAGTCATTTTTAGCAAAAATTTGGTGAAACTATAGTACAGGGACTTTGGCCCCCTTTTGAAGCAACTTTAAAAATTCAAAAAAAAATTCAATATTGATCGGAATCAGCTCAAACTTTCTACACAACAAGAGTACATATATACACATCATAAAAATTATAAAAATGAAGAATTCTTTTCAAGCCATGTTTGATCCAAAGTACCTGTACTTAGGACTTTGAGCCAATTTTTGAGTCACTTTTAAAATTCATAAAAATTTAATAGTGATTGGAATCTCCTCAAACTAGATATACAGCATCAAAACATGCAGAAAATACCCAACTTTTGAGCAAAGTTTAAAAATTCATAGAAATTGGTAATCAGATCAAAATTTTTTTATACACAACATACATGAACATGACTAGGCTCATGCAGATTATGCTCACTAATGCTTCAATTATTTGATGCAGCATTGCTCATAAAATGTCATGATTATTCTTCAAAAATAGTACATTATGCTCTCAATTATGCTTAAAAACCAACCAAAAATATACATTATCATAGCAAAAATTAATTAATTGATGTATTAAAGCATGGTCTGAAGGTGCAGTAGAAGTAAAACTCAAGAAAATTCTGTTGATTCCCAAGGGTAATTTTAAAATTCAAAAAGACTGCAGCTAAAAAACAATTCAGACATCTCAGTGATCTCTGTAACCATTAAATTCAGGATATTTTGCCTTTTATGCTAGTAATTTCCGGATATTTCCCAATTATGCTAGCATGATTCTTGTATTCCTCTACCTAGTTATTATGCTCATTTTTATGCCAGCATAATCTGCACCTCCCTAGACATGACTCCATGCACATACAATATGCATAACTAATTATTAATGATAACACTATTAGATGCAATAATGATATTGCATTACTAGGGAGCACATTTGCTACCAAATATGGAGGTCTTAATTTTATAAATAAAATTAAAATAATTAATTAAGTTATAAATAATAATTGTCTTACATTCTTGTCCTGCCCAACATTAAGAAAGTAAGATGCAACGTGTTTAGGCAGTAAGTTCTCCATCAATAATGTGTTGATCTCAGCAAGCTTCTTCGTTTCTTCCTTCTCTTCCTTGCTCTAAAAATAAAGAAAATAAAAAATAATGAAAAATATAAAATAATAAAAATAATGAATTAATAAAACATTAGTATGTACCTTCAATTTCCATAGGAAGGATCGTCTATACACAAGATCATTCTATTTTAAAAAATAAATTAATAATCATCACACCCACACATTTAATTAAAGATTCAACTCACATGTCTCCCGAGAAGAATGAGAATAAAATACGATACGGACAACAAAATGGCCGCCTCGTACTTGAGTTCAAAGAACCAGGAAGTACTCACACAATAGCCCAATACACGTTTATCATAATTATCATAGAGACAGGACTGTGGCCCAAGCATTATATACAGATACACAATGAGACCAATGAGCGTTATGAGGCCTTTGAAAAGCCAGTTCAGACGAATGTAGACAGCAGTTGAGAGGAGAGCCAATAGGCAGCAGTAGTATATGTACTATAATAGAAATAAAACTGAAATACTATGAAAGTGTTCAGTACTGACCTGTGGATAAAGACAGTCATTGCTATCAGGACTAGGATTGTCATAGGTGTCTCTCCATTCATCATATGAAGAAATGCATGAACACTCACCCTGTAAGGAGAGAAGAAGAAAGAAAAAGGGATTAGTAAACTAAATACAAATAATAGTAACAATAATAAGTACAGGCTCTCCCTTTTTTGTCTCCTTTTTGTCTGTTTCGTGTCTTTTTTTACCATTTGTATAATAATAATAATAATAAACACTTTATTGCATGAAAAATAAAAACAATAATAATATCAATAGTAGTACATGTACATGTACTAAAATAATCATAGCATTTTTTTAAATGCCAGATCTCCTTACATCCTCATCACAGCTCCTAGTGAAGGTATTGCAAGGTACAGTGTTGATGAGTGGTGCCATTAGAGTGAGAGATATTGATAGAAGAGCAACGACCAGACGTACAAAGTAACTCTTGACCATATAAATTGAGAGACGAGTGAGAACATTACCATTAGGATACCATCTCTATTGGATAATAAATTAAAGATATATATAAACAAGGTTGAGTGTGATTTGTATAATCAAGTTAAATAATGTGAAATTATAAATGATTAAATGAGTTGTTACCCTCAAGAGGTGGAAAGAGAACAGTGCAGTTGTTATTGTGAAGAAGAGTGAGCCACCTATGAATGAACCAAGCATTGCATAAGACCTGTGTGAAGAGAAAAAGAAGAAAAGAGAGAGAGGGAGGGAGAGAGAGAGAGAGAGGGAGAGAGAGAGAGAGGGGGAGAGAGAGAGAGGGAGAGAGAGAGAGAGAGAGAGGGAGGGGAGAGGGAGAGGGAGAGAGAGAGAGGAAGGGAGGGAGAGAGAGGGAGGGAGAGAGAGAGGGAGGGAGAGAGAGAGAGGGAGGGGAGAGGGAGGAGAAAGTATAGTGTGAAAGAAATGAATAAACGTTAAAGATGGAGAGGGTGAGAGAAAGAGATAATCTCACAGAGGAAGAACAAGAGCCTGTATCATATAAATGACTGTGAAGACCATAAAGGAGGACGCAAGATAAAACTTGAAAAACTTGTCAGGGATCTTTGAGTACTGGAAAAGAAACAAGTATTATACGTATTACATTAACTGTGTGTGTGTCACTAATAATGGGTCCATTGCTTACTTTGATGTTATCTTTTTTTGAATTAAATGTCAAGAAAATTCGATTAATCTCAGGAGGGACAGCAAGTATACTATAGAGAACATACAAGGTATGTACAATTATTTTACCAATCATATCGTATGTACATGTACATGTATACACTTTTTAAAAGAGTGAGAGAGAGAAGAAAACTATGTCAGTCATTCTTACCTGCTCCGATTTGCAGTCTCAGCATCAATCATAGAGCTCATCCTCTTCACAGCATCTTCATCCAGTGGAGACAGTTTAGCTCTACATGCCATTAGAAAAGAGAAAAAAAATACAAATAATTATAAAAGTACATATTTACTAGATGCATATACTATACTTACCTTCCAAGGACACTGGGTATGATGGCCATTTGAGCAACAAGACCAGTCTAAGAGAGAGAGAGAAGGAAAACATTACACAGAGAAGAATGGAATATAAGGAATTCATGCAGAAATAAAAACAAACAAATAAGAAATAGAGGAAATCATGTTCATTATGTACGTGTGCATATACATAGTAGCATACCACTAGTGGATTGGCCGTTGGGTTATCAAAAGCATCGACTTGATTGAAGCCAGCAAAAGGAGCTTGTGCCCCCCACTTGGAGAGATGCTTCACTATTGGGTTGATCTCTGAGCGACGAGCAGTTGACCTTCGTTCAGCAAGAGCATCAAGCTACAGAAAAGACAGAGAGAAAGAGAGATTAGGTAGTATAGGAATATACTGTACTTTATACAAGGGTTTGTGCATATGACAATTTGACAATGTAGTCTTTCATTTGATGTTTCCATCCTCTTTCTCTCCCTCTCTCTCCTGGGCAGGGTTTAATTCCCATAATGCATGCTACATGTATGTGAGCTACAAGGCATGCTTCATAAGAAGAATAGCCTTATATAATAGTATTATAAAATCCTTTGAAAACCCTGCCCTTCCCCTTGCTCGCTCTCCCTCATACCATGGACGGTGCTCTTGTCCCAGGAGAGAGAGGTGTCATTGGTAATGGCGAAGGAGGTGCTAGAGTAAGAGGTGAGTCCACTGGTGGCGGTTTAGTGATCGCTGGCACTACTGAATCACTCTATAAGGAGAGGAAGAGACAATAAAGAAATGAAATAGGATAATAGCAGCAATATTGATCAGCCTAACCTTCTCTGTGATCAAGTAGGTGGTGACGTTGTTTTCTTTAAGATACGAGTCCCTCTCTCCTCCGTTCCCAGGCTCAACGTCAAACTCACCATCAAGATAATCAAATGTAGCCTGGGATATGTGTACACGCCTACACGTACAATAATAAAAAATAAAAACATCAACTATTATATACTGTACAGTATAAGCACATAAAAAGTGTGCATAAATGACAATAAAATACAGAATAATATTTCTTTAATTATACAAATATATAATAATATTTATATTACAATAATTATTATCAGTGTCACTATTTTCTTTACCCCGGTATTCCTCCTGATTCCATGTGATTGGCCAGTGTCACGTCATCAGACCACACGTCAAACTGCCACTTGACCAGACCAAGCACGCCAGATATGACATGACCTGAATGTATGCCAACCCTCATATTGACATCAACTCCAGTGGCTTCCTTAACACTCCTAGCACCAGTAAAACAAGAACATTATCAATAAAATACAAATGAAATAATAATAAATAATTAAAATAATAAATAAAATACAAATAATAATAAATAATAATAGCTATTGAAGTACATGGCTACACGTAGATGTGTACATGCTCTTAAAAGATAATATTTTTAAAAGTTTTGGCAGTAATAGGGTACACAATACAAAGTACACACATTCAGTGGACAAACACACATACACACTCCCACTAGACCTTATCATTGTTTATTATTATCAACAAGGAGTACCTGATAGCATTAATCATATCAAGGCCCATCTGTACACAACAGCGAGCGTGATCCTCTCTATCGTCCAGCAGTCCTGAAACACAGTAGTAACAATCACCTAATATCTTTATCCTATGACAGGAATAATTCTGGAGAGAGAGAGAGAGAGAGAGAGAGAGAGAGTGTTGAGAGGGTTTACATAAGATGCTACAATAACTTTATCTACATGTACATCTAATGACCTCAGAGTCATACATGCATACATTTACAATAACAGTCACATTCAATCTCATGATAACAATAGACCAGTAATGAAATCATTGGAATGATCTAGACTTAATGTTTAGAAGAAGCTACAAGTACATGTAGTTATAGTACAAAATACACTATGTCAGTATATATTGAATCATTCCAAAATAAAGCATATTTATTTAATACATTTGTCAAGTGTATTGCTAACGATACTGTTACTAGTATAGATTATACTGTATTACGATTATCTCATTACATGTATTGATGTACATGTACAGTTATGAGTATTCCTCCTTCCTTACTGCTGCCTGCTGGTCAAACTTTCCAAAGAGCTCATTGAGTATCTTTACCAGGTCCTTGGCAGTGCAGCCTGAAGAGAGTCTTGTGAATCCAACAATATCAGCAAAGAGGATACTATCAAAAACAAACAGCAACCACAAACACATAAAATTGTACACACTAATGTGCCAATGCCAAATAAATTAATGATTACACATGTACAAAATATTTCCCTCCCTTTATTATTTAATTTTCTTAAATTTATGGTTTACAAGTGTGCTGCTTTAAATAATAATTATAAAAATTAAATCAATAGTTAGCTGGTTCTTAATTTTAATTTTTTCTTATTTCGTTAAAATTAAACTTTACGGTGGTCTCAGGTGGTAAACCGCACCTCGTCTCAGGTGGTAAAAACACATCGCCAGTCCCAGGTGGTAAAAAGCAAATAATTAAAAGTCTCAGGTGCCAAAATGCACCTCTTGATAAATAATTACAAGTCCCAGGTGGTAAAACGCCAATAATAACAAGTCTCTACAAATCTGCAGGTGGTGTATTGTTTAGATAGGAACAATACTCCTCCAGGAGGTACTTAACTTGTTTAGAGAGGAGCATGGCAATATACATAATACCCCTGAAGGGCAATCACAATGCACCCAATAGGTATCTTGACTAGGAGGAGGGTGCAAGCTTCAAGTTCTTATTATATTCAATTCATCAGAGGTGATAGGAGGGTGCATTAATTGAGGCCAATATGGTAGACTAAAACACTTCACATGATACATAAATGCAATTATGATTCTGCATACGAGAACCAGTGTGTACATAAAATAAAGCTAATAGAGTACCATACATACAATCCCTGCACATATTGTGTCTCTCTACCTGACATTACTGTGATTGGCTACATGAAACTTATGAAAGTCCATTCTCTTTGCTTCACTCCGGCTGGAGAGGTACTCCTCCAGGAAAGCATCAGCCAGATGGCCAGGAAGAACAGAATAGAGTAATTGTTGCTATATAAATAATGGAAATGTACTAAATAAAATTCGTCTAAATGTACACACATACATGTATATGTAAGACTGTATGTACACATGCAGTATAGTATAGTAGAGTCGGTATACGTGTACATGTACATGTACATGTACATACACTACATGCTCATTCTCTTTATTCCCCGTTCTACATGTACATGTACATACATGTACATACATACATGTATATTTGTGTGTATGATGATGTACATATGCTCCTTTTCATTACTTTCTTTCCTTTCTGTGTTTCGATTTGAGCAACTGATCTGATGTATCTCTGGGTCTCTGAGAAGGAGCGCCTTTGTGCCAAGTCGGCAAGATAGTTGTAGAGAACACCCATTAGGTTCAGGGAGGCCAAGAGGAAAATAACACTAAGAGACTGGGAGAGAGAAAGAAAATTGGGAGAGATAGGAAGAGGGAGGAATGTGGTATAATAGTATTTTAAAAGTATCAATGGATTTTGAAGTATACATGAGTTTCGGAAAAAAAAGAAATACGCTAAAACAATAGCACAGTTTACTTCTTATACATGTACAATACTTAATGATAGGAGGAAGAACAATATAAATAGGTATGTGTTATTTTAAATAATCAAGTCATATCAAAAACATGGCAACTAGTCATCAATCAATGGCTCTAAGACAGACATAGAAAGCATGGCTAGGATTTTGAATCTCTACACAATCAACTGATAGTCAAGTAGCAGAAGTTTGAAAATAGATGCATTAATACACTAACTGTTAAATCTAAAGCAGAGAGTGCTGAGTACATGCAGGTGTCAATATTTAACAGGACAGGGAACTATTTAAAACTAGGATATACTGTAATTATAACAAAAATAAACACTACAGCCACAATACATAAAATAAACAGTCAGAATAAACACACAAGCACAAAATGCTAGAGGAATTAAGTGCAACAGTTTATCCAGAAGTGTTATCAACAAATAATATAGGACAATAAATGTACGTAGCTAGAGTGCATACATACATGTATGTACATGTACATGTATATGAAAGTATAAGGGAGATTACCTCTCTTAGGATGTTAAGTGAAGTGCCATTCCCAAGAGCAGCGGTTGTGACTGAAGCAACAATGACATAACCGCAACAAAAGAATATGCTCATGAGAGTGGATAGGCGAAGGGACACTGGTATCATGGTGTACGTGAATATGACCACTAGAGAGACATAGTCAAGTGTATCAGAGGGCTGGGGCCTGAGCTGAACAGAGAAGAGTATGACGACTAGGATGACAAGCACCACCCAAGTTAGGATAGAGTAGATAGTGAGTCTTGGACGTGATATCTTGTCAATGACTGCCATTAGTGTTTCAAGAACCAGGAGGAGTGCACAGAATAATAGAGTCAGTACTTCAGGGAGAGAGCCGTATTTAATAAGCTATAAAAATGAAGAATAATGATTCTTAATTTTTAATCACCTCCCCCCCTCTCTCTCTCCATTCAATAATGTGATTTTAACAATTGTCCATGCAGCCTTTGATCATGCTTTTATGTGGTCAAGGAACATGTTGCCTTAAATTTAAAAAAATTCAACACAAGGCTAAAAGAAAGATCAAAGGCTGGCAAAATGCTGCTCGCAGTGTATGTTGGGGTTAGGTGCAACCCTTCCCTTAAAGTCTTTCTTTACAAAGTCTTTGATCATTAAGGGACAATCAAATTATTTTTAATGACAGATTTGTACACAATTGAGAATAATTGAATCACCTGTTCATTGAGAGTTATGTTGAAATTTGTACATTCATCAAGAGCTTCGTCACTAACAGGAATCTCAGAATACTGAAGGAATAAAAATAGTTGAAATACTATAGCACTAAAATGAACAATATAAAATGTGCTGTACATATACTTGAAGATGGAACCATAGAAACTATACTCATAGACTGTACATGTACAGTTAGTAACATGCTAGGCCAGCACAGCATTACATGCAAAAATTTACTAATCTGCAGTGAATGTAAAAGATATGTACATGTACATGTAGCAAGACATAAAACACATACCAGTATGTACATTTTAGTGCATTCATCACAATATTCTTAAGAGAAATACTGAATTGGATCTACATGCATGAATATTCATTCATACATGTACCATGCATGCACATACATAGATACATACATTCCATTGAGCTTTGTGTGCAAATACATGTACATGTACACAGGCTCATACTAACCTTTTCCTCCCCCAAGAAAACAAAGAGTGTGATGAGTGCAATGAGAGAAAGAAGGCAAGAGACGAATATGAGTAGCTGCTGCTGCTGCCTGTAGACGTAGCGGTCGTATATCTTCTCGAATTCTTTCATTTTGAATTTTATCTTCAAAGGACGGAATGCCCATTCGCTGGACTTTCTTCCCTTCTCCTCTTCGACCACATCCTCCTCTATACTGGCCAACGAGGTCATGGATTTGTGTGACTTTGAGGAAATTATGGAGGGTCGCTCGATCTCCTCAAAGAAGACGCTGGGCCTCTCCTGCTGATTGTCATAGTGCACTGCCATATCTACAATAGGTGTGGTCAGGAATTAAAAAAAACCTCCACCGTATATAATCTAATAATTAGACTAACTGACCAACAAGCTTTTAACAAAAAGAAATAGAATTTTTTAAGGCCATGCCCATACTTTAGTGATGGGCAATATGGCCAATTTTCTTAATTTTCGATAACGATCGATAATGGACTTTTTAAGGAAATATCAATTATTAACGATACGATAACCACACCTTCATTTAGGGGTGTGTCAAGGGTGTGGCTAATGATTTTGGCACTGTACTGGACATAAGAGAAGATCGTTTCCATGCTCTTGAGCCTTGTTTCTCTTCTTATTGGGGTAGGCTGAGCTAACAACTGGTCAGTTGCCTCTTTCTTGCAGTTCAACAGTGCAATTACTTATTAAAATTAGTCATTTAACCTTAATAAATGGGCGTGGTCAATAGATCAATGAAAATTGCATAAAATTTTTGATAATGATTCAAATCAATTCCGTAAAATATCGTTTATATCGATAAAGAATCGATATATCGCCCATCACTACCATACTTTTACTGTTCAATTACTTAATGATTAACAGATGAAGGTTATACATATATTTTTTAATTGCCTTAAAAATGTGTTTAAAATGATCGAGATACTGAGGTAAAAGAATGATTTTAACACTCATGCAATGAGTGGTGAAGGGTCAGTTTTAAGCAGCTAAAACTCCTCGATTTTCAGTCAAATTCAGTAATTATCCAAGTAACAACTTTATACTGTCACATAGTAATGTGTGAATAGATGTGAGTCAAATTTAACAAGTTGGTATGAAATGTCTGCAATAAAGGTATTACTGGTTTATATATATATATATCATACATTGTAGTTGTAACAAAAGTTTGTTTAATCAACAACAGCCTGTCATACACACACACACATAATAATAATAATAATACATTATAACTTTTAAAAAAATTTTCATAATGATTGTTTCAAAATATCAAATCAAAAGTAATAACTTTAAAAATAGAAATAGGGGAGCTTCAAACACACACAGTTTATATTTTCAGTTATGGAGTTACCCTATTAAAAGAAATGAGAGAATCAAAAGTGAGCCACTCTAGAATAGAACAGAATACAATAATAGAATATAACTAATACTACATGTATACTACTTACACACTTAAAAATACTAAATTCTATACTTACACATCTAATGCCATAAATAGTAAAATATAGTAATTAGCTCTTAATTACCGGTACAGCTGCTCAATACAAGCTATCTTAATAATTCTTTAAAGTGAACATGCTTTGATGGATTGACAAATGAGCTATGTCTCATTGTTTCAGAAAACTAAATAATTTACATTACACGGCCTGTGATAGCATGGCAACACCTGAGCAACATTATAAACAACATTATTTGTGTTGATGTAAAATAGAACTGACCATTAATAATCACTAAGGATGTGGATAAGAGGGGTACTGGCCAGGTGGAGGAGGGTATTGAGGATACTGAACTGGAGCAGGATACTGCCCTCCGTATTGTCCAGGAGGATACTGACCAGAAGCCCCTGGAGGGGGTGGATATTGACCAGGGGGTCCAGGAGGATAAACATATTGTGCAGGGGGTCCAGGAGGATATTGTCCAGGTGGATATTGCGCAGGGGGTCCAGAAGGATATTGCCCAGGAGGGTATTGTCCAGGGGGTCCAGGGGTGTATTGTCCCGGGGGTCCTGGTGGATATTGTCCAGGGGGTCCTGGGGTATATTGTCCAGGGGGTCCTGGGGTATATTGTCCAGGGGGTCCTGGGGTATATTGTCCAGGGGGTCCTGGTGGCCCAGGATGATATTGTCCAGGAGGATATTGGCCAGGTGGGCATGAAGGTGGGACAGTGGGACAGCTGGTCGGGCATCCAGTAGTTGGTTTAAAGACAGCCTTTTAAGAAATAAAAACACATTAAGTACACATATATCTGTTGTGTGTAACAAATTATATTTACTTTATCAAGTCTAGCTCTTGCTTTCTCTTTATCAAATTTAAAATCAATGGCGTCCAATACATCATATTTCTTGGTTGGATCGTAAATGTGACTACAAAAATAAATTTCAATCATAACTAAATTAAATTACACCATAGTGTGCCATAAAAATAATGCTTTAATTTTGCGGAGTTTTTCACTTTAGCGATAGGTTATTAAATTGCCAATAATTACTAAAACTATAACTCATTAATGCATGTATGCTCAGTTATGCAAGTGTACACAAAAACCATTGAGTGCAATAGTGCCAAAATAAAGCACTGGAATATTTTAAAGCAATTTATAAACAAAATTAATTTAATAAAAAATCTTACTCTGCAATCATGTCAACTGCTTTCAGCTTGTCACTTGCATGAGCAAAGCACAATACAATATCTTTGCCTTCTTGACCATTTAATGGCATCATACGCTAAAATACAAAAATTATTACAACTTATAATGCATTAGTCTTTTGAATGAAAGCAATGCAAATATTGTTTTCGTTAGCTAAAGCTAAAACCAGGAGCTCTCTTAGAGTAGTGTTTCAATAAGCCAACTAAAATTAAAGCAGTTACTTTGAAGAGCTAAAATTTTCACGGATTGATAAAATTAATTTTTAGCAGAAATAACTTTTGAGAATTCACAATGTTTGTGCCTCCCTTTAATGGCGGTTAAATATTTCACAGATCTTTAATTTTGCGGTTGCATGCTAGCCCATGAAAAAGGCAAAGTTTTGCTCCTCAAAAACAAAGTACTGTACAGTAATGGGGCCCTTTCAACTCTTAATTACACTTAAATAACTAGCCAAAACCCAAAAATAGAAAATGTGTAAAATACTGAATAAATATAAGTGAAAATTCAAAAACGTACTGGCTCGACTGCTTCTAAAAATTTCAGTTGATCAGAATTGAATGAGAACAACTTTAATGTCTGAGCCACTTGAGGTCCATTGAAGAAGTACTTGTCAGTAAAAGACTTCACTACACTGAGCTTCCCACTGCTAAAGCTTTCCTGCAAGAAATAAAGTTATCTTATAATTCATACACTTCCTAACTTTAGACAGTTGCTGCTTAAAACTTTCAAAAGTTGCTGGATCCATTTTGCTAAACTATAAAATGTAAAAGTGCCCCACCCCTAAAACTGCTGCGCTGTTCCACGTGGATGAGTCCTTATTGCTAGGCGTGGTCACTGGAGGATTTTGACCAATCAGGTAGAGCTATTTAAAATTCAAAAGTGGAGCTTATAGTGGGTAGAATTTGAAAAGCAATCATCATGGAGCCTTCTTCATCTTTGACTAGAAAACACGTAAACCCTTTACTTCTTAAATAAGAATATTTACTATTATTTTAATAGAGGGAGAAAGTAATTTCCCTGACCCAGAACAAGGAGAACAAGCCTCCTCCCTCGATTAAAGTGAAAGCAGGAGCAGCACCTCGAGCAGGACTCAAGACAAAAGAGAAGTACAAGCCCCCTGTCCCTGGTGTAGCGCAGAAGACACTAATACTAACGAACTCCAAGAAAAAGAAGAAAGAGCAGCCAGTACTTCAAGTCAAGCCATTACACTGCATCAGGGAAACGCACCTTTATGATGAGCATTGGATAAGAAAAGAAGAAAGAAGTAATTAGTGTTAGATTATGTAACAATTAATGGACACATGAGAGTCAGTAAGGGCTGGCTGGTCCAGACCCTCTAGCCAGAATAGGCTTGAGAATAGAATGGCTGAAATAAATTAAAAGATGCTAATTTGCTAACAAGGGAAGGGAATTATTGTACAATGTATACTGACATTACATACATGACATGATTTCTTTGTGATAGGTTTTATGAAGTGGTCAAACTTTGTGCTTGCTCCAACAGATCAGTGTGGTAATGTCCTGCCAACTCAAGGCAAATCAGGTAAGTATTAATGACTGTACTTGATACATGGTATATCCATTGCAGTTATGTACCGTATTTCCTCGTGGAAACGCCTACTCCCTATAAACGCCCATGCCTGTATAAACGCCTAGAGACAGCACATAACTTTGACAATAAACGCCCATGCTTGTTTAGACGCCCATTCTTGATTAAAAGCCTATACCACACCCACCTACCCCATCCACGTGGTACATGTACCATACGTAGTTTAGTAGTTTACATTCTACAATGGCAGCTGCAGCTGAGAAGGCTAAAGAAACTCAGAAGTTTTGATGTCAGTTTTAAACTACGCGTTGTGTCTATTGAAATATGGTGGTAAGGGTTATTTTTGGGTTATAAACGCCCACCTCGTATAAACGCCTACTTCATTTAAACGCCTAGCAAACAGGTCTCTATAAGAAATAAACGCCTAGGCGTTTCCACGAGGAAATACGGTATTCGTTAAATTTTGGAGCAAATTATTATAAAAATCTAATTTTGATTTTTTACATAACACAAGAACATGTATATATGTCATTTATTTGTTCACCAAAAGCATTGCACCCAATTATCCTTTGTCCTTATTAATTACTCCTCTCTCTAGCTCCTTTAAAGTCAATGCTAACATTTGATGACACAAGTCCAGTCAGTTTAGCATCATCAACAGCTCCTACAATTCTCTCTCAGCAGAGGCAGGCCTCAAGAAGAAGACAAGTGAGTGGTATATAGATGACCAGGAGTAAGGAGTTTACAATTATATTTTATTTACAACCTATTCTAATTACTATACTTTTGTATCATCATTATTATCATCATTATCATTATTATTACATACAGGCTTGTTCTCGGTTGTATGAGTCTGAACCTTGTACTCACGTCCTGTCAAGACTTGAGATTGAGATAGAGGCCGGGAGACTCTCAATCAGACCAGAATATAGCCCTCACTCTGATGTTGGGAAAAGAGAGTCACTACTTCAGTTGTTTCTTAACTATAACCCTGTGTGGTTGCAACTAGGATTAGAAGTAAGAAAGAGAGGGATGCATACACAATGAGGATTTGGATATATACAGGGTTTTCTCACAAAGCATGCTTAGTGAGCTAAAAAGCATATGCTTTATTAGTTAACAAGCACTACAATAGTACATGTAAGCTTTTGGAGCATCTTTGAAAATTTATAAAAAAATTCAATTTTGATTGGAATCAGCTCAAACTTACACATCAGAAAAGCATGTATGTACATCAGAAAAAATTATGAAAATGGAAAATTCACTGCTGAATACATGTATTTTTGACAATATGCCTATACTGCATGTATGATTGCATTTTGTCAAATTTGAAGCAACTTTAAAATCCACTTACACTAACCTGAGCACTCTGCCAAAACTCTGTGGAAAACCCTTGACATAATGTACAATATAATGCATATATTTATACATCTACATGTACATGTAGTCATGCATGTACGTCTTCACAATAAGAGCAATTTGAATATGTACATTTATATCTCATTCTTTATTCTCAGGTTATATTTAGTGAACAGATCATAGTAAATGAGGAGAGTTCTCTTCCACAGACTCTCTCTCTTTACATTCAGTCCCGAATACTTAGGAACAGTCAGATTGTTGATAGATATTATCATTCATCAGTTCCTGGACGCTATGGCAAAGGTACATTAATTAGTATTACCCATTGACAAACTGCTGATATTGTACATGTACTACATGTAGCTATTTCAGTAGATGTACATGTAATTTAGCTGAGCTTACATGTACATTTTGTAGGTGGAAATATAAGTATGTACTTTATGTATGTAGACATGTACATTGTATATGTACATGTATGTATATGTACATGTGTCTTATTATTCTTATTATTGTTTTTGTAGGTCTTAATGAAGCAATATGTCAATATGTATTGAAGAAGTTCCTTTCACTTGTTCTCTTATTGGATAAAGCTAAACTAACACGTCTTATTGATTATGATCCTTGCCTTTTTTCCAAAGACTCTTCAGTAAAGGTAGCAAATAGAATTAATAAATCACTTCACAAAAAATCATCAATCATTCAAATGCAAAATTTCATAGTCAAGTCGTGAGCTTCTCCTGACTTTTTGTCGGGATTTTTTATCAAGCGAAGGAGATCTCATTCGTCATCTTCAGTATCTGAATTACAGCGTCTCTGTTGTTCAGGTACAGGAAAATTAACACTTAAAAGCAATGATTTTACTATATTATTTTTCTCATTCATTTATACATGCATGTAGCATCCAATAGACGAGTTTGATTTCAGTATTACTAATATTGCAACTGACCTTCAGGATGGTCTGAGATTAGTGTAAGTATATACATGTACATTTAATCCACTATTGAATTCTGTACCCTTTACTGTCCAATATAATGTATACTACAAATTATATTCAGTACAAAGCATTTGATTTTTGTAATTATAGGAGATTATCTGAGATATTAACTAGTCAATGGGGACTATCATCACAAGTTAGAATACCAGCATCAACCAAAGCACAGGTACAATTAGTATAAGCATGTTCACTATAGGAGCTTGTAACTATATACCATATAGTGGGAAATTTTGGAGGGGATTTAATTTGGTAAATTTTGCATTTTGATAGCCATTGGCCTAAATAAAATCCACCATTTTGAGCCATTATATGCATGCTCAATGGCACGTGGCCACAAATTCACCAATTTAAAATTCGCCAATCATCAAAATTTAGCAATAATTTGTCAAATTTTAGTCCCTCCAAAATTTCCCACTATATGATATGGGGTTTAATATGCACATGGGAGAATATTGCATGGCAAAATACACACTATAATTATGTAATAATAATTATGATAAAGGCTAATTTTTCACAACTAATAAATTTTAAAAATTACTCACTCGCACATACCGTATAGCCAAAAATTTTTGAGGCTTAAAATTTTGTGAATAATGAAATTTATGGAGAAATTTTAAATTCCGTGAAAAATATTTTCGTGATTTTAATTTTAATAATAATAATGACCCTGCCTTATTTAATTAAAACATGGCAGATTCATTGTTTGAGACGGACTCTTGTGTCAGGGGGCACCATGTCTACAAATCAGTGTGGACACCAGTGATGGGGAAGATCATCATCTTTGACCTTGCCAGTATGCTTAAAATAGCAATACAGAGATATCAGCTTGACCAAGAACACGACTTGACAAGAGGGCACGCACATTTATTAATAAGGCGTGGCTAACCACATCCCTCAATTAATATTTATTTTCGGGGGTTTAATTTTTGTGATGCAAACAGTAATCACGAAAATACGGAAATTTATTCCTCACAAAATTTTTTGGCTATACGGTATTCACATATAATGTTACTTGTCCTATCATTTCACGTATATTTCATATTGAGCCACTGGACTGTCTTCATCATAAGTTCCTCCATTAAAACAAAACCTCATTTCAATGTAATCAGTAGTAGTATAGCCAATATTCTTGTGAAACCAAGGAATTAATGAGTGTGTTTCGCAGCAATGAGCTTCTGCTGAACGACAATCTTTTCCATCCCATAATGGATCATCAGTGTACAGACGATTAAGATCATAACCGTTGTTAGGACGCCCAGCCTCACAGTAATAATCTAAACCAACAAAACTTAAGGGAGCTTTTCCTGAAGGGGCACATGGACATGAAGCATGAGTGTCAGCACTACTAGCTAAGAATGACCAAATGTGAGATCGAGAGGTGCCATGAGTTAATCTAATCCCATCCATGATACCTTGAAGGTATGTTGCATCAGGATGACCTTTCTGATATCCAATAACTTTACCACAGACCTGAGAATATTTAAAGTGAACAGGGAATTTTATTCCAGGGCAGCTCCCACCGCTACTGACTGGTCTGCCACAAGCACGTCCACCATTTTGATCATACAGTCTTAATCCAATGGGACACTTCTCATTACTGTCCTCCATGTTGAGGATACTAACTCTAGTCCAGCCTCCTCCTTTATTGCAGAGATTACTCATGTCACAGTAGACATGTCTAACATGACCAGTAGGATCCACTAATCTATAGTAGCCTGATGTGCTGTTTGGTGAGGTCTGCAGTACTTCCTCACAAGAGTGGAGCAGAGTAGATGGTGTGTAGTCAGTGTCATCAGCTTTATCATCCAGCTTGTTCAGTTTAGAGTTGGTAATGTTACTGTGTTTCAAGAGTATTTGTGTATTCTTTTGAACAGAATAAACCATTCTTGTTAGGTGATCAATATCTTGCTTGAAATCAGTCTCTATTATGTTTAGCCTCTCAGTTATAGCACCAATGGAAGTGTTTAGCATAGTCTCCATACGTTGAAGTGTTGCTATTCCTTTTTTGTTTGATTCATGTCCAGCTTTCTTGTATTCATTGAGTAGCTCTCTTATTAGAGATACCTGGAATAGACCGGAGGACATACAAAACTGGGATGTGAGATTAGCAAGACTCTTCTCAATGTTGAGAAGCTTTTCATTCTCATTTTCCTCCAGACCATTGCATGATGCAGCTATTGCTAGTACTGCCATAATAGCGTAGAGGACTTGCATTTTAAACTCTTTAAGATCAGGACTGTTAGCTACTATGAAATTTCTTTTCTTTTATACTACTGAGACAGGTTGTTTGTAATTTGTATAATTTTTTGAAATTATTACCCAAGAAATACATGTGTGATGATAGTCTATTTAAGACAAATGATATTTCATGAGAAATCAATCATGTTAAAATAGCTTCATACTATACTGATATTTTAAAATAAGCTGCTGTAGACTAACAAACAACATTCCAGAACTCTGCACACTGCTATTATCAATTCCATGTGACTGTGCTCATGAGCACTGATGTAATAAGCATTAATTATGGAGCCATGTTTATTATGTACATGTGTACATCTGCATGTGTTCATGTACACATGTATATTTATTCTTTTTTATTATCTGTTTATTATATTGTAGAAACTGCACAATGTTGAGCTTGCACTGAAATGTCTATCGGGACACATGACAATACCAGTTGGTACCACCAGTTTGAATATTGTCGAAGGGCACAGAGAGAAGACACTGGGCTTACTCTGGTCCATCATATTTCACTTCAAAGTAAAGAAAAACTCATTCACTATTACTATTATACTCCTCTTCCCTACAAAGATTAAAATTAAATTAAATTTCAAAGACCTCAAGGAAGAGATTGCTTACCTCTCAACCAGAAAGCCACATCCCATTGCTGCAGAGTACTACAATCCTCGTCACTCCTCTATTGAGCCCAGTCTGTTCTTTACAGCACCAGAACTGAATGTATTGTTGGAATGGTGCAGGGCTGTAGGGAAGCTCTATGGTGTGCCAGTAAGTACATGTATATAACTTACAATGGTACATTATTGTATGTACATTGGATTTATAATTAATATTATGTCACAGATGATTTATCTTTTTTTGTTTGTTACAGATAAACAATTTCAATTCATCGTTTTCTGATGGTCGTATGTTTTGTTACCTGATACATCATTATCAACCAGGACTCCTCCCACTTGATCGCATTACTAATGAAACTAGTACTTCACAAAGACTGATGGCAGAACCACCTCCTCCTTCTGTCCCTGAACCAGTTGAAGAAGATTTCACTAATGGATGGACTGCTAGCTTTAGTCCAAGTAAGTTACAATGTATACACACATTATAAAGATTATATGGACGCATTATAATGATGTGCTTAATGTCTCCTTTTTAATAGCAACTGGTAGAGACAAAGACAAAGAGAGATTATTAGCTAATGAGAAGTCAAATTTCAAATTATTGTCACAAACGGTACAGTGTGCTATATTTAAAAGCATCTACTAATAATATGCATGTACTTTATAGCTGCCATTGCTTGGTGGTGTACCAATGTTGGTTCATTCCAAAGACATGTCAGACACACTGCCAGATGAAAAGGTAAACTGCCCTAGCTACTACTCTCATTCATAAATTGTTGTTTTATGGTTTAGGTTGTGATATCATTTGTTTCCTACCTCTGCCATCGACTGATGATACTGAGGAAAGAGACAAGATCTGCTGTAGTTCTACAGAGAGCTTGGAGGAAGATCAAACAAAGAAAGAGAGAACGTTGCCTCATGGTAAATTTAATTTATTGAGTTACTATAGTCTTTACTTTTGTCTTTATCATTGTAGAGTCTTAGAAATAATGCTGCCACTTTTATTCAAGTAAGTATAAATGAGTTATGCCCAGGGTTTCCCACAAAACATGCTAAGTGAGAAGCAGCATGCCTCATGAGCTGACAGTACATGTACATGTATAATAACGCATGGTGCAACTTTTAAAATTCATTAAAAAATCCAGTTTTCACTGGAATCAGCTCAAACTTGCTAGACAACATAACATCATGTATATATCAGGAAAAAAAATCAAATGTAGAATTTTCTCCTTTTAAATTTTGGTGAAATTGGGCCCGAAATCATGTACAGGGACTTTGATCAGATTCTTTAGCCTCTTTAAAATCTATTGACAAGCTGCTTCATGAGCACTATGCCAAAATTTTGTGGGAAACCCTGCCTATGCTATACTTTAGTTATATTTGCCTATTTTAAGTATTTTCAGTAACTAAATTGTTTTGTTAAAATTTATAGCGCCACCTATGCTCAAAATAATGCAAATAGCCCTATATCCATGTAGTAGTAATAATAAGTGCTGCAGTTGTATAGTAACTTTTGATTAGATCAGTATTATTATTTATATTTTTACTAATTTCATATTACATGTAAATTATGCATGTATATCATCCTTCAGGCCACTTTCAGAAGATTTATTGCAAAGAGGAAGTATTCTCAGTTGCTTTCTGCAACACACTGCCTTCAGGTCTTATGGAGAGCAAAAAGAGATGGACGACGACAGAGAAGAATCTTTTTAGCCAAAAGAAGGGCTGCCGTTATCCTTCAACGAGCTTACAGACATCACAGAGCAATAAAAGAAGATCGAGCAGCCAAGCTCATCCAGACTTGCTATAGAGGCTATATTTGCCGATCAGCTTATCTTAAGATGAGAACAGCAGCTATCATTCTCCAATCAAGCATTAAGTCTTACTTATCAAGAAAGCATTATGTAGCATTGAAGCAATCAGCACTGAAGCTACAGGCTTATTGGAGAGCAACGCTCCAGTCTAGAAGAGAAAGGGAACAATACCAGCAACTGAGGGCAGTGACCATTGCAACTCAGGCTCGGTATCGGGGAAAGAAGATCCGTGAGAGATTCGTTAGTCAGAGGAATGCAGCTATTATTATACAGGCTATTTATCGTGGGTATTTATCAAGAAAGCATTATTTTAAGCTAACCCTCAGTGTTAGTGTGATTCAAGCATACTGGAGAGCCACACTTAAGGCTAGAAAAGGAAGACAGAGTTACCTTCGATCAAAACAAGCTGCCATTGTTATACAGTCTCACTTTCGAAGATGGCAAGTCCAACAGCAGTTATCTATTCAACATAAAGCAGCTACTCTCATTCAATCGCATGTTAGAGGATACATTAGTAGGTCTCATTATCATTGTCTAAAGCACAGCACCAGTACCCTCCAATCATACTGGAGAGCAACACTCTTAGCTAGAAAAGAAAGAGAATGTTTCCTTCAACTAAAGCAAGCTGTCATTATCATACAGTCCTACTTTAGGAGGTGGCAGTTAGCTATTGCAAAGTGGGCAGCAACTCTTATACAATCAATAGTCAGGGGCTACCTCTCAAGGCATTATTACCTCACTGTCAAGGCTAAAGTCTCTTTGATTCAGTCACACTGGAGAGCTACACTGTTAGCGAGACATGAGAGACAGAGTTATCTTCAATTGAAGCAATCAACCATCATAATCCAGTCTTACGTTAGAAGATGGCAAGTTCAGCAACAGTTAGCTATTCAACATAAAGCAGCTACTCTCATTCAATCACGTGTTAAAGGATACATTAGTAGACAGCATTATCAGAACTTTAGATTGCATGTGGTTCTCCTTCAAACATACTGGAGAGCAACACTCCTGGCAATGAAGGAAAGAGAGAAGTATCTTCATTTTAAACAAGCTGCCACCATGCTACAGTCTCATTTTAGAAGATGGCAAGTTCAACAGCAGCTGTCTATCCAACATGAAGCTGCTAGGCTCATTCAGTCACAGTATCGTGGACACACTGCCAGGCATAACTATCAAGCTACCAGAGCTAAGATCATTCTACTGCAATCACACTGGAGAGCAACACTCTTGGCAAGAAAGGAGAGAGAAGACTACATCAATAAGAGAAGAGCAGCCATCACATTACAGTCTCACTTTAGAAGATGGAAAGTCCAAAAGCAGTTAGCTATTCAACATAAAGCAGCTACTCTCATTCAATCACACATTAAATGTCACATTGCATCACAGAATTTTGCTACTCTAAAGTTAAAGGTCATTCGCCTTCAAGTTTATTGGAGGGCAACACTCTTAGCAAGGAAAGAAAGAGAAAGCTACCTAGACAAGAGAAGAGCTGCCATTCTTATACAGTCTCATTTTAGAAGGTGGCAAGTTCAACAGCAGCTATCTCTACAGCATCAGGCAGCTACTCTCATTCAGTCACTGTATCGTGGATACAGTAGAAGACAGCATTATCTGGCAATGAGGAATAGTGCTTTATTGATACAGTCATATTGGAGAGCTACTGTTGCATGTAGGAGAGAAAGAGAAGCTTACCTACAACTGAAGCATGCTACAATTACTTTACAGTCTCATTTTAGAAGGTGGCAAGTTCAACAGCAGCTGTCTATCCAACATGAAGCTGCTAGGCTCATTCAGTCACAGTATCGTGGATACACTGCCAGGCATAACTATCAAGCTACCAGAGCTAAGATCATTCTACTGCAATCACACTGGAGAGCAACACTCTTGGCAAGAAAGGAGAGAGATGACTACATCAATAAGAGAAGAGCAGTCATTAAATTGCAGTCTCACTTTAGAAGATGGCAAGTCCAAAAGCAGCTGTTTTTACAGCATCAGGCAGCTACTCTCATTCAGTCGCATGTCAAATGCTACTTTGCAATGCAAAAATATTTGTTACTCAAATCTAAAGTCATTCTGCTTCAATTGTATTGGAGGGCAACACTCTTGGCAAGGAACAAGAGAGAGGAGTACCTAAAGAATAGAAGAGCAGCCATTACAATCCAGTCTCATTTTAAAAGATGGCAAGTCCAAAAGCAGTTGGCCATTCGACATGAAGCAGCTACTCTCATTCAATCGCATGTTAAACGTTATATTGCATCACAGAATTTTGCTACTCTAAAGTTGAAAATCATTTGCCTTCAAGCATATTGGAGGGCAACACTCTTAGCAAGGAAAGAAAGAGAAAGCTACCTAGACAAGAGAAGAGCTGCCATTCTTATACAGTCTCATTTTAGAAGATGGCAAGTTCAACAACAACTGTCTATCCAACATGAAGCTGCTAGGCTCATTCAGTCACAGTATCGTGGATACACTGCCAGGCATAACTATCAAGCTATCAGAGCTAAGATCATTTTACTACAATCACACTGGAGAGCAACACTCTTGGCAAGAAAGGAGAGAGAAGACTACATCAATAAGAGAAGAGCAGTCATCACATTGCAGTCTCACTTTAGAAGATGGCAAGTCCAAAAGCAGCTGTTTTTACAGCATCAGGCAGCTACTCTCATTCAATCGCATGTCAAATGCTACTTTGCAGCGCAAAAATATTTGTTACTCAAATCTAAAGTCATTCTGCTTCAATTGTATTGGAGGGCAACACTCTTGGCAAGGAACAAGAGAGAGGAGTACCTAAAGAATAGAAGAGCAGCCATTACAATCCAGTCTCACTTTAGAAGATGGAAAGTCCAAAAGCAGTTGGCCATTCAACATGAAGCAGCTACTCTCATTCAATCTCATGTTAGAGGTCATTTAGCATCACAGAAGTATGTTACTCTAAAGTTAAAGATCATTCATCTTCAAGCTTATTGGAGGGCAACACTTTTAGCAAGGAAAGAAAGAGAAATCTACCTAGACAAGAGAAGAGCTGCCATCACATTGCAGTCTCACTTTAAAAGATGGCAAGTCCAAAAGCAGTTGGCCATTCAACATGAAGCAGCTACTCTCATTCAATCTCATGTTAAACGTTACATTGCATCACAGAATTTTGCTAATCTAAAGTTGAAAATCATTTGCCTTCAAGCATATTGGAGGGCAACACTCTTAGCAAGGAAAGAAAGAGAAAGCTACCTAGACAAGAAAAGTGCTGCCATTTTTATACAGTCTCATTTTAGAAGATGGCGAGTTCAACAACAACTGTCTATCCAACATGAAGCTGCTAGGCTCATTCAGTCACAGTATCGTGGATACACTACCAGGCATAACTATCAAGCTATCAGAGCTAAGATCTTTCTACTACAATCACACTGGAGAGCAACACTCTTGGCAAGAAAGGAGAGAGAAGACTACATCAATAAGAGAAGAGCAGCCATCACATTGCAGTCTCACTTTAGAAGATGGAAAGTTCAGCAACAGTTAGCTATTCAAGATGAAGCAGCTACTCTCATTCAATCACATGTTAGAGGCTATATTGCAGCCCAGAAATATTCTTATTTGAAACTAAAGGTCATTCATCTTCAAGCTTATTGGAGGGCAACACTCTTAGCAAGGAAAGAAAGAGAAAGCTACCTAGACAAAAGAAGCGCAGCCATCACATTACAGTCTCACTTTAGAAGATGGCAAGTTCAGCAACAGTTAGCTATTCAACATGAAGCAGCTACTCTCATTCAATCACATGTTAGAGGCTATATTGCAGCCCAGAAATATTCTTATTTGAAACTAAAGGTCATTCATCTTCAAGCTTATTGGAGGGCAACACTCTTAGCAAGGAAAGAAAGAGAAAGCTACCTAGACAAAAGAAGCGCAGCCATCACATTACAGTCTCACTTTAGAAGATGGCAAGTTCAGCAACAGTTAGCTATTCAACATAAAGCAGCTACTTTCATTCAATCACAGTATCGTTGTTATCATACAAGGCAGACATATTTATACATGGTAGCTCAAATTAGCATTCTTCAGACCTACTGGAGAGCCACAGTCCAGGCTATAAAGGAAAGAGAGAGTTATCTTCAGTTAAAACAAGCTGCCATTGTTATACAGTCTCATTTTAGAAGGTGGCAAGTTCAACAGCAGCTATCTTTACAGCATCAGGCAGCTACTCTCATTCAGTCACAGTATCGTGGATACAGTAGAAGACAGCATTATCTGGCAATGAGGAATAGTGCTTTATTGATACAGTCATATTGGAGAGCTACTGTTGCATGTAGGAGAGAAAGAGAAGCTTACCTACAACTGAAGCATGCTGCAGTTACTTTACAGTCTCATTTTAGAAGGTGGAAGGTTCAACAGCAGCTGTCTATCCAACATGAAGCTGCTAGGCTCATTCAGTCACAGTATCGTGGATACACTACCAGGCATAACTATCAAGCTATCAGAGCTAAAATCATTCAACTGCAATCACACTGGAGAGCAACACTCTTGGCAAGAAAGGAGAGAGAAGACTACATCAATAAGAGAAGAGCAGCCATCACATTGCAGTCTCACTTTAGAAGATGGAAAGTTCAGCAACAGTTAGCTATTCAACATGAAGCAGCTACTCTCATTCAATCACACGTTAGAGGTCATTTAGCATCACAGAAGTATGTTACTCTAAAGTTAAAAATCATTCATCTTCAAGCTTATTGGAGGGCAACACTCTTAGCAAGGAAAGAAAGAGAAAGCTACCTAAACAAAAGAAGCGCAGCCATCACATTACAGTCTCAC